CTTAAAGTGGCCAAGTTTGGACAACATTGATGTAGGTGCAGTCTATATTTGCTGCCCTTTTGTGATACCCCAAATGAGCTGCCTCATCCTAGGAGGTAACCCCCATGTAAACCTAAATTCTGGCAAGACTTCTTCAAGTAAAGCATCTCTCTGTTCCAAGAGAAGAGTGTATGTTGTATCCTTGTTTTTTACATTTGCAAAATGGAATTCCCCGTTTATGGGTCACCTTTTAAAACTATCATGAGAAAGAAGTGACTTTGACACATAACTGTTGCTAATTGATAAGGTACTTCTAATCTATCTCACATGCAACTTGCACCTGATAACTCTCCTGCCTTCTGTCTTCCTCTCTTTTCTTCTCTGCCTCATCCCAGTTTAAATCTTACATCAGACTAGCACTCCCTTGCATGTGAGGAAGTGAGCTGATACGCACTAAAGCTTATGTCTTTTAATCAGATTTGTCAGCCTGAAAAAGTGCTACTGAACTCCTTCTGAGTTGGGGCTACCATAGACAAACACAGCTGTCCTCCTACAATGACATATTAAGTATCACAAGAAGGAAGATGGCACCTGTTTACCCTCTGCTTACCCTCTGGCAGGACGTTCCAGATCTCAGGAAGGAAGTTGCAGGCTGTACTCTGAGTCTGCTTTCCTGATGCTTCAGGTCTACAGATAAGAGAATAAACCTCTATGGGGACAGCACCATTTCAGAAGAAGTGCATGGAATGCTTCCTTATAAAAAAGTATGTAAAATTATTCTATAGAAAGCTAACTATCAGAAAGGTGCATTCATTTTATGCATAGGTTTATTTTTCATGGGATAAAGTTCTATTACCAAATCTGTTCTTACTCTCAAGCAGTGCAACTAGAGTCAGTTTTGCTTCCTTGTCTAGTACAGCAGATTCTTTATCTGGGTGTCTGTTAGATGTGTTAATTGTACAGAGAATGCCATATGTACTGTTGGACTTTCCCGTTCAATATTTGGCTTCTCCAGCTCATCTCTAATACCATAACCTGAGCATGGACATCTGCAGGGGAGAAGCCCACACATATCTAGCCATCCTTGCATGCAGGCATACAGAGAAACTTTGAAGAAAGCCTACAGAGGCTTCTCCAATGCAGACATATGTATAAATGTGTGAGGAACTGAATTATGTCAGTTCCATTTGTAAAAATGGGGTTTTTAGCCCACTGAGGAAAATCCAACAATTAGTGGTATAACAGCCTTCCCCAAGTGGTGCCCTCCAGATGTGTTGGAATCGCAAGCCCTAGACTTGCTGTTCCAAAACATCTGGAGAATATAAAATTGGGGAAGGCTACTCTAAATCTATAATCTCTCATGAGCTTTGTAAAATCACTAGAAAATCAGCTGAAGGTAATGGTCCCTGAGGATGACTAAATAACATGAGAAAGCAGCTGCTCTTCAATGCATATGGCAGAAATGTGTGATTAGAGATAATACCATTTTTATCATCATCTTCTTAGCTTTCTCCCTGTTTTTTTTTCCTAAAGAACAATACACAACACAAAAAAATTATTCCACTCTATCTGTTGCCATGTCTATGGTGCAAAAAATATATTGAGATTATAATGCTTAACTGTTACTTTTTCTTAACAACAATTAAAGTGCAAGAATTATAGTTAAGAATTAGCTATGAACTGAAATAGGAAAACATTATTTGATTGGATCTGTAAG